CATAAAAAGCTTTTTCATAAGGAGTTTTTGCCCCAGTTAATTGAATAGATTTTTAAAAACTGTAATGAAAGAAAAAGATTAATTGTTGATCACCTGCAAACGAAGTACCGAATGATATTAGCATGACAGACAAGGATTTCGTAACTGTCTGAGGATTGTGTAGGATCAGCTCGGTGAAAATATCTCCTGAACGCAGCCTCCAAGCGGATTCCGTCATCATAAAACTTTCAAATAAAAAAATGTTGATGTCATCTGCGAATCATTACATGTACCTGTATTCATAAGTAACATATATATTATATATATATATACATGTATATATATATATATATAGATAGATAGATAGATAGATAGATAGATAGATAGATAAATAGATAGAAAGCACAAAGAAATTCACTTTTATAAGGATACCCACTTCCGCCCCAGCCCGGGGTTGAACTCTCGACATACGGAATCTGTCTCCTAGCAGTACAGGAACAGCGCGCTAAACCGCTCGGCTATGTATATATATATATATATAGAGAGAGAGAGAGAGAGATAGATATAAACTATAAACAACTATAAATTGTAATCTCAAATGTTCACCCCAAAAAGATTTGAGTGTACAAGATAGTTCCTTAACAGAAAAACTTGTATTAATAAGCTGTATAATACATGTATTGACCTTTAGTCTATAAATAACCATTATAACTTTATAGGTTTTTTCTTCCAACATCCTACACTTATTCGTACTGAATATGTTTGTAGGATGAAATATACTTTAATATTATATTTTAGTATAAGTACATGTCCGGTAGTTGCGACGTGCAGAAGTGTAATCTTACACACAGGTGGTTGGGTCGGGACCCCCCCCCCCCTCCCCGCTCCGTACCCCATAGGTTCTTCCATTTTTGAAATAAACTTTCTATGACAATTTTACAAAAGTTTTACAATTGAAAAATATAATATAAAAATATAATCTAAAACTAACCTTTTATAAAAATTCATTCTCATTGGTACTAAAAGTATTAGGCCTATAGTGAGCGGGAATTTTTATAAAAAGTTAGGTTATATTTTGGATTTACAGGGGAATGGGGGGTGGGGGTCCCGTCCCCAAGCACCCTTGATCTGACTTACAGAAACGTAGAGGACGGACAGAAATATAATTTTTAAACTCTACATGTTTTGATCTTTTTACCCAAATATAAATATATATATAGACACCCTTTTCATCATGTTTCAATTTGTAAATATGTCACCTTTATTAAATCACCTTTATTTCCGGCCTCCACTGCCCTACCGCTGGTTCTGGTGGGATTGGGTGTCCTTCACATAATAACGGGTCCTCTTGTCGCGGTACCCCCGGGAGGTATCGGTGAACTATATCCGCTGTCCTTACCGCTCTCAACAGGGTGGAGGATATCAGAGTCGTGAATGGAAAGTTTAGAGCCTTCAGTCTCTTTCCACAGAATTCAGCCTGAGTTTGACCTATTATCATAATGTCCATTTCTTTTTAAATTTCAGAAAGTAAATTAAAAAAATATGATTGCCTCTAAAAGGTAGCTGCTGCTTATATCTAAAATTATAAAATTACGTACAAAAATTGCTTTTCATGCGATTTAATTAAACATCTTCCTTATCCTTAATTTTCGGCCAAAATGTACGGCATGTACATGTATTTAAAATCTCAAGAACATAACTCAAGGATGATCGAGAAACTGATTGTCACAAGACTGGAAGGGGCACATTATTTGTTTGACTTAAATCCCTATATAATGAACTTCGCCAATGTGTTTGACCCCCCCCCCCCATTTTTAACGCCGAAAGCTAATGGAATCGACATATGCATACAGCATAGAACCGTTGACATTTTAATCGCTTATAGTTATTAAGAATTTTAAAATCAATTTTAAAAAGTCAGTTTCACTACATAATCTTATCTGATTTATAATGAAAGAATTGCATCGATTTACCAAGCTTTGTTAAATCCCTCTTGGTGTCGTCTTTCTCTACTGTCGTCTGCCCGTGTCGGACGAGGAGGAGGTGGCGGGTAGCTGTTGGTTTCCTGCATCCTGAGGTGTCCAAGTTACCAACAATGTCCGAAGTCAGCGACAGGGATGATAAGTTTTCTACCCCTCTCCTACAACAATATTTGTATATGGGCCTATCAGTCCTTTTAAGTTTCTTATATAGAACGTTTAAATCTTTAATCCTAGTTGAGCATTTTGAAAACAATAAGGATTGCCAAGAGTTGTCAATCATTTTACTCTAATTTTCCTGTCTCACTGGGAAACTAAACAGTCGAACGGACCTTTTCTAGAGCATGTTACCTTAAGTGAAAACTATATCTTGACAGCAAAATCTTTAAATTTTCATTTGTTACCTGTCCCAATTATGGTCCCATTTCACACTTGGTTCAAAGTTCGTCGTCCAGGCTGCGTAAACAACATTTTCTTTCTGTATCAACCACAAGGCCACACCAGCACCCAGCGTACCCCCAAAGATTCTCAGGTGAAGTGAAAGGTGCATGCTGTTATTCCTTCAGTTTGACAACCAAGGTCATTTAAAAGGTTAAAAAGTAGAACATTCGACACCAGAGGGGTGTGGTTTTGTTTGCAAATGTTCGGCAAAATGAATTTTTTTCTAGCTTAAACATTTTATTTATTTTTCTGACTTGTCTGCTCCCCCCCCCCCCAAAAAAAAAAAAGAAAGAAAAGATGAAATAAACACTGTACGAAAATTATGCAGTATTCATTAAAACAACAAAATATGACGGAAAACTTTTCCCGTAAAATTCCTAATAGAATGTCATCTCGAGGCAGATAATTTCATTTGTCGGAATTGCCTTAAATTGTGTGCTTTGCGCAAGGAAGTGAAAAAGCTGTGAAAGTTTGTATGTGACGGTCATGCTTGGATTCATGTTCACTTATTTGGGCATGTTCAGGAAGCTTAAGGATAAATACACAAACAAACTTTTTTTTCCAGAAATCATCAATATTTCTTATAGATTTATATTCAAATAGGTAACCTGAATAATGTTTGCCAGGTAAAGTGAGAGAAATTTGTGAGATTTTGTCGCAGTGTTAAAAATATGTGCAAAATTTTGTGTAGGATTACATAGAAAACAACACAAAGTCGCATGTCTAAGTACGAAAGAAAACTTACGATTTCTTTATATTTTAGGGATTTATTATTTATGTAATTTCTATTCAAAATCAGTCAAAATATATGTATTAAACCATGCAGAAAATTTTTGTTTGTGTTATATGTACCATTAAGACTAAGATATGTATGAGACATATCTTACGAAAGCCTATTAGGATCAAACTATGGAGAAAAAATTGATCCTTATAGGCTTTCGTACGTTGCTATCAAAAGGATTGACTTTCTCATGTCTAAGTCAATTGTAAACAAATAAAATAGGGGCATCTGCTACTGTAGATTCCTTATTTTACGCGAGTACTTAATATCGCGAAATGGCCCAAGGGCGTCAAATCGCAAGAACAATAATTCGCGAATGGGTGATTTATCTACAGATTTTACATACATTAAAGCACCATAAAAATAAAAGCGAGTAATTTTATTTCGCGAGTAGTGCTTCTCGCGTAATTACGCGATAATTAATTCCTCGCGTATATTTAGGAATCTACAGTATTTCTCGAAGTGTCTTTCACAGGGGGGGGGGGGATATTTTTGTCTACACCGCAAACGAGTATTTCAGATGACACTCATATCTTAAGAGCCATAGGTGCCTACCCCCTCCCCCGCGACAAAGAACCTCGAGCTTGATTCATTATTACTTTTAATAATCTAAAACAAACTCTTTATATAAAATATATATAGTCTCTACATTTAAATCAATTTTCGTGTGTATTTGAAAATCTGGTGATGTTAAAAAGCCTGATTTTCAATCGGGATACATGCAATTTTTTACCTTCTTATGAAAAGACATGTAAATAGATGCACTTAACTTTTTAATACCGTTTTTAACATCATTAAACAATTACTAATGAACTCTTCTTTGCATTCAAATAAGTTTAAATGGCCAAATTGCATTTATATTGAATTAAATTGATTTAAAATGTAGGCGAGAGTTGAGAGTTAGCGTTCGTAGTTCTTTAGAGATAAGAATTTTCTAATCATGCTTTTAATATATTTCGGTGTAAAATGCCCTAGCAACATTTAAGTCATGATATTTTAAAAAAGTTTTAAAAATATGAGCTTCAAATCTGTGTCTCAGCCCCAATAAGACATAAAATTTCTTTTTCGATTTGAGTTTAATTGCAAATTTTATTTTGGGGAAAGAAGTAACATAAGACATCGTAAATTACATCTAATATGGCTTCTGTTTACATCTTAAAAGATATGTCTTAGAGTGGTCAAAAGGTATACCTCAGATATATATCTTAAGAGGAATGTTAAGATATTTTCATGAAAATGCCCACTGGTTTCAAAACTGATCGTTTTCGTCTTTGATAATAGCACATCCATGGCAAATATACTCAAAACCAACACAGTAAGCATGAGGCATAGAGGCAAATACGTTGTTTTTTAAAATATATTCTTTAAAATCAGTTCTTTTTTGTGTCATACCGAAAAAAAATATACACTGTCATGATTTGAGGAAAATAATAGGTATACTCTGAGTAAAGTTTAAAACAAGTTAAAACACTTCTTTAGGCTTTGTCTTAGGCTGTAATGAAATTGGACTGAGAAAAAAAGTTAAAGTTTATTAGCAACTGATGATACATGATTTAAATTTTTTATTAAAGACCCCTGTCATTCTGAGGACATACCTACATATAGGATTAGACACAGTTTACGCAGGTCTCTATCTCCTGATGGTGATGAGTGGAAAAAGACACATAAAATTTGCATAATTTTAATCGTGATTTTTTTTATGAAAAATAATATCACAGAATATATATTAAATATACTCTTTCTTCATACCTGATAATAAAAAATGAAATTTTCAAAATTTCTTTTTATAAAATACTCTTTGAGCATCTAATTCCTTTCCTTTAAACACACAAATTACCACGATTTGGTTAATATCAGGTAAAATTTAAAGTAAATCACTAATTGAACAACATCATTCTCAAACATCCAGGCAGAGCATCATCAAAATCACATGGTGATGGTAAAGGGGGGCTAGACTTGGAGCCAGTGAGGGAATGATTAACAGACACTGGGGGATTATGTCCTCCTGATTCTAGAATGTGTTCCTTCCTCCTTGAGGGCACTTTATATCAGGAGTTCATGCCAAACTCAGAGTTAAGTCTGTCTAAATCTTGATTATCACAGGCATCATATAGGTCTGGCCTCCCTAACAGAGAGACTGCCATTCTTAGTGTACTCCAGATGTTCTTTGACATGACTACTTGTGGGTCCTTCATTCCATGTTGACTTTTCTTCTGCATGTTTAACGCTGTTAAAAAATGCTCCACTGCCTCACTGTAAACAGGAAAAATACACATCTTGTTTAAAACAAAAACCAAACTAGAAATCTGACCAGTCAGCAAGGGCCCCACCAAGGGGTAGAAATATAAGGGTGCAGATTAGGGAATGAGAATACTTGATTACAAAAATTTTAAAATATATGAAGAAGAAAAAGCACCAGCAGCTGTAATTATAAAATTTCAAGATAATTCCTAAATATCCAACAACCTGTAAATAGTATCCTTGTATTTACATAAGGCAGTAAAAACATCATATCTATAATTATAACTCAATTAAATGTATATTTAAAGAAGAATGAAGCATGTGTTTTCTAAAATGCCAGCCTTCAGTGAATGCAAATATCACCCAGGCTTGACCTTATAACTTCAAAACAAACATCAGTTTCAGACAAAGGTGATAATAAATCTTCAAGTGACAGACAGATAACCCTCGAAAATTTTCTGCAATCAGTTAAGATAATTAATCCCAGGGGATGAATTGTACTCCTTTCTTATCCCTTTCTTCTAAGTTTACAATAAGAACTTTTTAAGCGATGATAGAATGAGGTTATTATCTGAAAACCTGTTAAGGGTCCTCCACACCCCGTGACTTGTGACGTATATCGAGAAAAAATACTTTTACTTCCGGTTTTATATAGTTTGTGCACTGACGATTTGACTGGCACCGCCTGTAAGAGAGTCTTAAAAACGCTTTAGATTTTAAGGTTTTGTCAAAGGAAGAGTATGCAGTCAACCGAGAGCAACACCCTGATCATAAACAATGAACACATGGCAAAATCACGCCGTGACCGAAAGAAGAAAAAGTGTTGATCTTTTTCAATAAAAAACGGCAGACATTTGAGATTTTGTTGCATAATGATTCGTAAATAACAGGTATATCTACTCGAAAACGTTTAAATTTTTTATATTTTCAGGCTAATAAATCCATTGCGATATCGTCAACAAGACTCTTGTGAAAAGTTGATATTATTGTACACTGATTTGTGCCTTTCAATAATACCTATCTCATTGTGTGTTTATAAATATTGATAAAGTGTGCATTTCTAGTTTTGCTCATTTATATCTGTCCTGTTCAGTTGTGAATAACGAGTTACTGAGTACATGTATGATGACGTATGCGGAGACTTACCAAAGTTTTTGAGTCCTGGGTAACAGGAAAGATAACTCTCAAAACGGAACTTTGATACCAAAGATTTTGAAAATAATTTTTCCTATTCAATAAATTTGATTTTGATTCAATTTTTTGTTGTAATTTAATTCATTAATGTTTCTTCTATACATCAGGAATCTTCAATAATTTTTTCTCAATGAATTTTAGCGTAAATGAGTTATATTTATTTTTTATAACTTTGATTAATTTTTTAATAAAATATCCTCAGTGATAAAATTAAGTTTTTGTGGTTGTTTTCTAGGCTTAATAATATATTCCAGGAGAACACAAAATTTGTTGTGCTACTTATAAAAACTCGGTGGGGAAAAAATCTTAAAACTTATGAAATTAAATTTTAAAACAATCAGTGTAAATTATATTTCAATTCTTGGCCAGTTTTTAAAGGTTGATATGCTTGTTAAAAGTAATGCTCAGTAATATGAGAACATAAGTTGGGGGTGTGTGGAGGACCCTTAAAATAAATAGTATTCTTGAATTTACATAAGGCAGGGAAAAAAAAAGAAAGAAAAAGAAAAAAATAAAATATTAATAAAAAAAGATATCTTTATCTATATCTTGTTTTTAGAATTCAATAAAATCATAATTCATTGTGTATTTTACCAAAATAAAGTATGAACATTATTTAATTTACATTTCAGAGAATGTAAACATCATTCAGAATTGACCTTAACTTCAAAACAAACTTCATTTGCAGACAGAGGTGTTAATTAATCTCAATGTGACAGATAAAGATAAATGCTTTGGATTTTCTTCAAGAGGAAAGTTAATTAATCCCAAGCGATTCATTGCAGGCTTTCATAGTTTACAATAGGAACATTTTCAGCAGTTATCTCTCTTTGCACATTCACTCTTATATAAAGTTAAGGAATCTCTCCTACCACCCCAGCTCCAAACCAGATGACATAAAGAACCAAACTTAGCATCAAAATATGTCTTACTGCCTATTCAACCAACATACCAAATTTGAACTTAATTGGTCAACCTGAATTTGTGGATGGAAGAATGACAGACGGACAGACAGACAGAGTGATTACTATAGGGCACCCGCAAATCCTTGCAGGGCCCTAAAAATAGAAAATCTGAAAGTTAAATACATTTACATATTCATCTTGTTTGATGTCTATCTATAAGATAAATCAACACTACTGACTTTATATAGGTTTACATTATAAGGTACTAGTATCTACTTACTTATGGACCCCCAGGTTAATACAGGCAATGCCTAGGTTATAGCGTGAACGGATATATCCTGGGGAGATCTGTAAGGCATGGTGGTAGGCTTCTACTGCCTCTTCACTGCGGTTACCATTAGCCAGGGTAGCACCAAGCTTGTTCCAAAGCAAGGCATCCTAAAATTATTTTTTCCCAAGGGTTTAATCTTTAAATATTCATCATTCACAGCATTGTCTCACTACACAAATGATGTGCAAGTGTACATACATGTATAAATGTACATGTATTTGTCTAACATTCAATTTTTGACTTATGAAAAGTTGTGATTAATTACATGTACACTTTAACATGAAAATACATATAAAGACAGAAGAAATTAAGAGAAATTTCCAACTGTGTCTCTTTATCATAAAGATGCAAGAAGTTTATGTACCTGAGGTTTGACCTGCAGGGCTGCAGAGAAACAGTCCACTGCTTTGTCATACTCCCCACTAAGGTTAAACAATACTCCCAGGCCACTCTAAAATGAAAGAACTGACGTTTTATCCAATATTTCAATACATTTACAGGAAAAAAAAACAACTTATTTTGATCTTCATTTTAAACAAACACTGGGATACAGTACCTGTACATCTGCATCAATTTCCCCGTTTTTCATTAGACGAGCTGCCTCAATAAACAAATCTTTAACTTCACTGTGCTCAGTACTGAAAATTTTCATAAGCAAGTATTACAACATACATGTAAAGTGTAAAGAAACATCAAGTCATATGCATTTCAAAAATCAGTAAAACTTGCTTTATGATATGATATATTTTTCCATTAAACAAGAGGCCAAAGGGCCTTAACTGCCACCAGAGTACAGTAAAACCATGTAAAGTATCCATAGAGCAAATATTTAATAATTATATAAAAAACCTAAATAAACTGATAGAGGAAGATATGTTGCTCAAAACATGAGAAATAGGGTGATCAAAGATCAATAAAATAGTTAGTTTCATAATGGTGATGATCTCCAACAACTTCGAAAATCAATCAGTTTCCTTATTATACATTAACACGTGTTATATACATGTACAGGGGGAAAGTTTTTTTTTTTTATAAAATCATGCATTTTCACTATACAATCAATAGAGCCCGGCCCTAACACCAGAACCCTTGACCTAAGGGCCATGAATCTGACAAGTTTAGGAGAGGCACCCTTGCTCATTATAATAACTATTCACTTAGTTTGTCTGCTAGATATACAGAGGGAGAGAAGAAATATTCTAAAGAATTTAAGCATTTTACTATATGATCAATAGAACCCTGCCCTAACACCAGAACCCCTGATCCAGGGGCTATGAATTTCGTAATTTTGGTAGAGAGTTCTCTGCTTGTTATAATCATGTCAACATTTTCTCTGCTTGATGTCCAGGAGTGAAGAAGATTTTTGCAGATTGGATTATTTTAGATGGTTTTGGCCCCAAAACTCAAGCCCCTGGAAGGAGGAATCATGAAATACACAATTTTTGATCCTCTTGACCCATAAATGCTATATTCATGTACTAAAATTGGTTAAAATTAGTTCAATGGTTCTGGAGAAGAATTTAAAAATGGTCAAAAGTTTATGCTTTTTCACACAACAATGGACAAAATTGTATAGCAATAGATCACTTGAGTGACTTGGTTGGCCTAAAAATATTGATGATTTTATTTCAAATTTCACATACATGTACATGCATTTTTAATGAAACTCACTTTATCAACTTTGAATATTTTATTTCACAATGATTGGCAGTCTGACAACAAGGGATGCATGCACTGAACCTGTACAATTTTCCTAAAACATCAGTAAAAAGAGGCCCAAGGGCCACAGCGCTCACCTGAGTAACTTTGGCCTTGCTGTTTTTCATGGGATTTCTCCCCCCCCCCCCTTGTAGTGCTTATTGTGGCCCCGCCCTACCCCCAGGGATCATGATTTGAATAATTAGAATCTACACTAGGTACCCCAGGATGCTTTCACATAAGTTTCAGCCTTTCTGGCCCAATGGTTCTTGAGAAGAAGATTTTTAAAGATTTTTTCTGCATATTTCAATGTAAAACTTTGATTCCCTATTGTGGCCCCGCCCTACCCCCCGGGGTAATGATTTGAACAATTTAAAATCTACCCCAGAATGCTTCCACATTAGTTTCAGCTTTTCTGGCCCAGTGGTTCTTGAGAAGAAGATTTTTAAAGATTTTTACTACACATTTCAATGTAAAACTTGGATTCCCTATTGTGGCCCCGCCCTACTCCCGGGGGTCATGATTTGAACAATTTAAAATCTACACTACCCAAGGATGCTTCCAAATAAGTTTCGGCCTTTCTGGCCCAATGCTTCTTGGGAAGAAGATTTTTAAGGATTTTTACTACATATTTCAATGTAAAACTTGGATTCCATATTGTGGCCCCCCCAACCCCCAGGGGTCATGATTTGAACAATTTAGAATCTGCACTACCCCAGGATGCTTCCACGTAAGTTTCAGCTTTTCTGGCCCAGTGGTTCTTGAGAAGATTTTTTAATGACCCCACCCAATTTTTGTATTTTCTTGATTATCTCCCCTTTGAAGGGGACCTGGCCCTTCATTTTAACAATTTAAACTCCCCTTCACTCAAGGATGCTTAGTACCAAGTTTGGTTAAAATTGGCTCAGTGGTTCTTGAGAAGAAGTCGAAAATGTGAAAAGTTTACAGACGGACGGACAGACGGACAGACAGACGGACGGACGACGGACAACGGGTGATCAGAAAAGCTCACTTGAGCTTTCAGCTCAGGTGAGCTAAAAAGAAAACTGAAAAAAAATATACACAAGTACAGTGTGTTTACACTTTATCTCAAATATTGTTATCTTCATTCATGTCCCCCAAAACCTAGAGAATAAATCTTTTTTTTTTCACAACTTGCCAAATTGACAGCAACCAAGAGTCCCATACCTTGAAATATATGAGGTAATTTTGGGGGCTGTTTCCACTTCTCCTGGGACTAAATGGGAGTAGGCAGGATTTTTCTTGAGCCAGGTTTTCAGGGAGTGACAGGCATGTGCAGCTAGGGATTCGTTGGTAAAGCTGGTGGCCAGAGCCATAAGAGCAGTCAAATTGTTACTATCTAGTTCCAAGCACCTGTTTTAGATATTTATGTACATGTATTCTAAACTTTTACGTGTCAGATAATTTAACATTTAATAGGTAATTGCCTTTGGCATAAATACATAATTGTACTGTTCATTAATACATTCAGCATAAACAATGCATTATCCTGGTATCCTGCAAATAACCCCACCCATTTGTTTTTGCCACCAATTCTTATAACTAAGAACATCTTCCATCACCTAGTTTCCTTTACAGAAACTTTTTTCATATTTAGTAATTGAAATATGAAGATTTTCTTTTATTGTTCCTTTTTATAAGCCAACATTGCTTTTGTTAAAAGGAAATAGATTACTCATTCAACATGATATATTTTTTGATTTTCTTTAAATTTTTTTTTTTATTTTTGCCAAACTTGTGAAGTACAAGTGCTTCATGCACACAGGAAAGATGGTATGGAAGATATAAAACTTATGTAGCTGGTATTTTGTATTGTATTGAATTTTGTAAATAATTTATCTATTAAAGAAATATTTTTTGAAGTTTAATGCATTATTCTACTAATATTTATATGTTTTACGTAAGATTCAGTAGGGTCTGTAAAGGGTAAAGATATATGTATTACTTTTTAAGTGCAGCAATTGCAGCTGGTTCCTGCTCATTCTCTGCCTGTGTTGTTCCTAAATACTGCCAAGCCTTAAACAAACAAACTCTCAGTAATTCCTGTCCAACAGGATTAAATATTTTTATTATGTGCATAATTTCATGAGTTATGTCTTATGACATAAATTATCACTAATTACCAAAGTATTCTGGTTGTCTTTCTGCACAGCTGCTTCAAACAGTAAGACAGCATTGGGAATGTCCCCTTCTTTTAACTTCTCAAGACCAGCTTGGAAAGGGTCAGGATGATCAATAAGTGGGTTTTCATCCTCAAACTCGTAAACCTTGGTAACGAATGAAAAATCATCATAGAATCTATTCTTTACTCATACATTTACATGTACATGTTTTATTAACATGTTTAATTTATAGAAAAATATACAACTGCAATATATCAGTAGTCCATAGGGACTAGTGGCCTTGAATTAGATATTTCACAGATTTTACTAGTCTGTCGCTTTAGAATTAAGAAAAAATCACAATATGCACAGCCATGTGCATCTTTGTGGTCCCTGTATTTAACAGATACTGTAGGTGTAATGTAATATACATGTAGGTATTTCAAGATGCATGCATTAATACTGTATCACCATAAGGGGAAAAAGTTGGTTCAACAAACACAATTAGTTTTCTGTCTATTTTTGATCCTATAAGCCAGTAAATAAAATATTTAAACTTGATTATCCCAACAGAAAGCAAAAAATAACCTACAGTGTATATCACATCAAATAAATCTAACATTATCACCTACATGTACATGTAGTTATAGCTTGTGAAGTGTGCAGTCAGATGCTATAACAAAATGTTAATGTGGCTCTGATGACATATTGCATGCAATATACATGTATCTTGTTTTTTTCCCCAGAGTATTTTTTACTTAATTTTTTGTCCAGCTGACTTTAAAATAAGTACAAGTATTTAAAGAATTTGTAAAGTCTTTATCTCTCTATCATTTGCTATAACTGATTATTACCAGTAATTAATATCAGATGAGTGTGAACATAGTTATACAGTATTTTCTGAATTCTACCACTTCACATAGTGAGGTGGTCTTTTAGTCTGTGTGAATTTTTCTAAGACTTATGAATATGAATGAAATTTTGAACCACTGCATATTCATTTATTGACATTTTCATTGTAACCCTGTGGAAGTATTAATCTGTTGTTTTGATGAAATCTTTGAACACATATTCTGATAGAAATTTCAGTACCTTATAAGGATCTGATTCCTCAAATTCTGTCAACCAAGGATGCCCATCATCTGTGGTTCTAAGAAAAAAAATACTTATATAAGCATCAACCTCTGTACAGTATCTTTTAAATTTCAATTGAAAACTTAAATGCCACAGAAAGTATTTGTGCATACTGAAGCATCATGCAATGATCAGTGATTTTATCAGTTCATAACTCACTTGTCAACTTCCTCCCAGTGTTTTTGTAATTTTTCCCAGAAATCCTCATCAGATGTTCCCCTGTTTCCTGTCATCTCAGCGAACTCCTCCTCCCACTGATCAACCAATGATTGCCCAGGCTCCAACTGTCAATTGTGAAATAATATATATAGCCATTAATAACTTGTATCAATATGACAACCAATTTCTTTTGCCCAGATATCCTATGTATAAATTCTTTTGTCATTATATTTTTAAAAAAATTCAGTCAAATTTGGTCACCATTTATAATTATACATGTATTTTCATGTATCACAGGTTAGCAAATAAAAAGCAAGCATGTCAGAATTTGTTAAAATGTGCAGAATGAATTTAAGAACCACAACAACAGAACAAACTTGAGATGTGCTGGAATATAACCCTTAAATTCCACTGAATGTTCAATGGTGTAGACACTTGTTTGCAAAATACAAACTCTGAAGAAATCACACTTCTTGCTCATGACATTGATTTTATACCAAAGAAAAATCAAATACAAAGTACATGGTAGATAAAATTCAATACAAGGAACATCTCTTACAGTAAAACTCAATTGAAATTTTGAACAAATGTCTGTTCTTCCAATCTCCATGTTAAATGTTAAATTTGCTGTTAGTTAGCTATAATTCATTTCCGATGTATAGCTTAATTGTTTGTTTTCTTTGTAGATAAATTGTACCAAAAAGTTAGAGGATGTTTATTACTGAACCAACATCTATATGTATTGTCTCTAATACTACTAAACAGGATGATAATCTCCTGTAACCTGCTACCTAGCAGATTAACAACAGGTGCTATGCTATTCCATACACAGTGCTATGCTAAACCACTACACAGTGCTACACTTCTAACTACAGGAGAATTGAGGGATGTGGTACCTGGGGGTTAGTGGAGAATTCCTGAACCCAGTCCTCAGCTCTATCCTCAGGACTTTTCTCTATCACTTCATTATCCCTGATTACAATCTCCCCATCCCCAATTTTCTTCACAAACTTCAGGAACTGACAAAATAAAGCTTCAGTTCAATTACTGTGTTTGAGAAGTCTGACTGTTACCTGTACATGTTACCTACTTTTGTGTACATGTGAAATAGGTGAAGATAATGAACAGTGATTGATCTCAAAAAACCTACAAACAATAAAATACGGACCCCTGGAAATTCCAGAGGTGGGATCAGTGGCATAGGAGGAGTAAGCATCCCCTGTCAACCCGCCACACCCACCATAAGCCCTATGTATTGTAGACACAGTAATCTGTAATTCATGTATAATATAATATAATGTATAATAATATCATAAAGTGTAAATAATGTTTTTATTTAGTGCAAACATATAAACCAAACATTTTAGAACCATAAACTTTCCAATACTTGCAATCTTTTAATTTACATGCACATGTTTCATTACATTTTTTAAAAAAGAATCAAACACTTCCTCTGTGCAAATCAAGTCATTGCTTTATTTGTATAACTATGTAACTGTAGTTTCAAATAATGGATCAAAGTGTGTGATGAACCATTATACTTGTACTGGATATATGACTTATTTCAGGCAATAGCAAAGAAATATGTGACAAGGAAAGCATCTGATGGGAGAAAGAGAATGTAATAGAGGGACATCTAGTTTTAAGTACATGAGTTATTATTAATGTAAACTTACCTCAGAGTTGGCCAGTTTAGGATCTGTTACATTATTCAGGAGATCTTTGGCAGTTTTTGCCAGATCATCATCTTGAGTAGAATATTCATCAATCCATTTAGTATCATCTAAAACCTCTTTCTCATATTCTTCTGTCCTGTGAAATAGAAAGTAATACAGTAAAATTTGTCTAATCCAGACTCTGAGTATTCCGGAATTTTGTCCATTTCAGCTATAAATTTTAATCCCATGCACTTCTTTAACAAATGTATTATAAAAAATTCCATGTAGTCCGGAATACTGTCTATTCTGTATTCCGAACGCTCAAATTGGTCCCAACTACTCAAAATTAACGATAATTTATTTCCTCTAATCCGGCCAAGCAGAATTATCTAAGTCACTTCAGTGCAATTAACACCTTTTGCACTTGAAGAAATATAAAGTTTTAAACAAGAGGCCCATGGGCCACATCGCTCGCCTGAGTAACTTTGGCCATGCTGTTCTTTACCAAATTTCCCCCCTTGTAATACCTATTGTGACCCCGCCCAACCCCCGGGGGTCATGATTTGAACAATTTAGAATCTACAATACCCCAGGATGTTTCCATATAAGTTTCAGCTTTTCTGGCCCAGTGGTTCTTGAGAAGAAGATTTTTTAAGATTTTTCTTATATATTTCAATGTAAAACTTGGATTCCCTATTGTGGCCCCGCCCTACCCACGGGGGTCATGATTTGAACAATGGATGCTTCCACTTAAGTTTCAGTTTTCTGGCCCAGTGGTTCTTGAGAAGAAGATTTTAAAAGATTTTTCCTATATATTTCAACGTAAAACTTGGATTAACTATTGTGGCTCCGCCTTACCCCCAGGGATCATGATTTGAACAATTTAGAATCTACACTACTCAAGGATGCTTCCATAAAAGTTTCAGTTTTTCTGGCCCAGTTGTTCTTGAGAAGAAAATTTTTAAAGAGTTTTCTTATATATTTCAATGTAAAATTCCCTATTGTGGCCCCGCCTTACCCCCGGGGGTCATGATTTGAACAATTTAGAATCTACACTACCCAAGGATGCTTCCACTTAAGTTTCAGCTTTTCTGGCCCAGTGGTTCTTGAGAACAAGATTTTAAAAGATTTTTCCAATATATTTCAATGTAAAACTTTGATTCCCTATTGTGGCCCCGCCCTATCCCCGGGGGGTCATGATTTGAACAATTTATATTCTACACTACCCGAGGATACTTCCATATAAGTTTCAGCTTTTCTGGCCCAGTGGTTCTTGAGAAGAAGATTTTAAAAGATTTTTCTTATATATTTCAATGTAAACCTGGGATTCCCTTTTGTGGCTCCGCCCTACCCCGGGGGTCATGATTTGAACAATTTAGATTCTACACTACCCCAGGATGTTTCCATATAAGTTTCAGCTTTTCTGGCCCAGTGGTTCTTGAGAACAAGATTTTAAAAGATTTTTCTTATATATTTCAATGTAAAACTTGGATTCCCTATTGTGGCCCCGCCCTACCCCCGGGGGTCATGATTTGAACAATTTATTTTCTACCCTACCCGAGGATTCTTCCATATAAGTTTCAGCTTTTCTGGCTCATCAGAAGATTTTTAAAGATTTTTCTTATATACTTCAATGTAAAACTTGGATTCCTTTTTGTGGCCCCGCCCTACCCCCGGGGGTCATGATTTGAACAATTTAGAATCTACACTACCCCAGGATGTTTCCATATAAGTTTCAGCTTTTCTGGCCCAGTGGTTCTTGAGAAGAAGATTTTTTAAGATTTTTCTTATGTATTTCAATGTAAAACTTGGATTCCCTATTGTGGCCTCGCCCTACCCCCGGGGGTCATGATTTTAACAATTTAGAATCTACACTACTCCATGATGCTTCCACATAAGTTTTGGCTTTTTTGGCCCAGTGGTTCTTGAGAAGAAGATTTTTTAATGACCCCACCATATTTTTGTCTTTTCTTGATTATCTCCCCTTGTAAGGGGACATGGCCCTTTATTTTGACAATTTACACTCCCCTTCACCCAAGGATACTTTGTACCAAGTTTGGTTAAAATTGGCCCAGTGGTTCTTGAGAAGAAGTTGAAAATGTGAAAAGTTTACAGACGGACGGACAGCTAGACAGACAGACGGACGACGGACAACGGGTGATCAGAAAAGCTCACTTGAGCTTTCAGCTCAGGTGAGCTAAAAATGCTTACATGTTTAACTTGCTTTCAACTCCATATCACACAGTATAACAAAAAATCAATAACAATATAGGTACACGATTTACAAATCAAAATATAAATCGGGATCGAAACTCAGACGTCTCATTTCAAAATGGCGCCATAACGTAAATTTTTAGATAAAAATTTAAATGTCCATTCAATAATTCTCAAATCGTAAATAACTGTGGTTATGATCAAGTTGAATGCGCTTTCCAACTTGCAAAACCAGCACTTGATATACATGTGTCTGTAGATTTTGACCTCATTAACATTTCACGTTGAAAGTCTCACACTTTGTGACAGAAAAAGAAAAATTGACAGTAGGTCATGCGATACTTTGAATAATTTTAGACTCCATAAATATCAAATGATTTTGTCATTTAATTATATTTTCCCAACATATGCATTGTACATGTTAATAAAACAACGGAAATTAATTTCAAAAATATATTACTGCATTTTTCCTGCACTCCGGATTCTGTCTAATCCAGCCAAATTTTATGGAACCATTGGTGTCCAGTTTGGACAAATTATACTGTTTATTTAAAGCAATATGATCTGCAACTTTGGTGTCAGAAATTTTTGTTGCAAAATTGTTATCAACTATTTCAATGACAGAAAAAAAGAAAGTTAATAAACTTCTGTTGCTATTTATAAGCTTTGATTGAAGCAAAATTACATTATTGTCGTCCTGTACAATATTGATTTCTTATATACATGTAATACTATATATTTGATTGTATAGAATCCTTTATTATGAAACAAATGGATACTAAATATTTCTGTCTTATTGATCAAAAAGGTTTAAATTACATACAAATGTATCATGATAACACATTTTAACAGCAAAATAGTATTCTCAAAAATGCAGCTCATATTGCTTTAAAAAGATAATAATTTACACGTACTTCTGGTTGTAATTCATATCATTTGAGTGGATAGAAAAATTAGTTTATTTTGTATGACCTGTATTACATACCTCACAATATGACTTACATCAAAATATAACAATCTGC